TTTCAAACCTCGGTTAACCCAAAAATCCAGAATTCCCCAGCCCTTCCTTTGCTTCCAGCTGCTGCAAAGTTTTATGGTTTACTAGGGTTTGGATTTGGTCTGCTCAAAGAGTTTGATTTTACGCTTAATTTGACTCGCCAGAGAATGTATACCTCATACTGTTATGTTAATAATGAACAGTGTAGTTAGTATCATAATTAACAAAGAAAATGTTTGTCCCCCACAGTAGCACCAGGTTCCTATCCTAAGTAATTATGTGAAATGTTATGGAAGAAGACTGTTCAAAGATTATCAAGCTGTCTCAAATCTATGTACTCTGTACCTTTACTGTATATGTTTTGAATGGTAATCATACTGTAAGGTATATCTATAAATCCACAATGTGGGTTGTGGGGGGGTCTGCAAATTCAGGATTGTCCAGAATAAACTTAACATTTATATTATGTGACAGAGTCAAGAATTGTGTAGATTGTTGCATTATTTTCTGAGTGAAAAGAATTATTAAAGCAGGAAAAGGGTAGATCGAGTACAATCACTAATATTATAGGAAAGAGGGGAGGAGTGTGAAAATGTGGTAGAATTAGGTGTGGTAGAGTCAAGGTTCCCGTGAGCCATGCTGTGTTTATTTGAGAGAAGCCAACTGTTTTCTGAATGGCTTGCTGCAACTCATAATTTCTACCAAATATCCTTTCACAAGTGGCAGAAGTACATATAGCACCCTCTCCTCAAGCCATTTTCCAATTCCATGTAGGTTATAACCCACAGTGTGAGCAAGGCATTAATATATAAACAACAAAATTTTACATTTCTTTGGGGAAGGGTCATTTTGGTAACATTGTAACTTGTGATTTATCCAGTAGGTTTCACCACCATAGCTGGAAGCATTAGAAATTTTTATGGTAGAAATGGAGAAATCTTTAGAAATTCCATTATAAAAGTTGAAATGGGTGTGTTTGTGCATGTATATGTTTTTTGGCCCATGTAGTAGTGACCACTCTGAAGAATGCTTCAGTCATACCAGAAGAGGCAGTTAGCTTATAGTTATAAGTGGATTCAGATAGAAAAAGAGGTGAAGAAAAAAAAGGCCTGTGACAACCACAGGCTTAAATGATTTACCATCAAATTACCTGACAATTTTGAGAAAAGTGACTTACTTACAATCTGCTGCAGCTTTCAGCTCTTTTTTAAGTGGGCAAGTTCCTAGCATTAGCTGAGAAACAATCCACATAATTATTTATTTAATTTATAATTTGCATCACATTTTAAGTATTCTATTTCCCTTTGTTATTGATTTAGAGATTGAGGGATAAAGTACCATAGAGATTTTGTTATATGTTCTGAAAATAATTAAGTAATGGAATTTTAAAAAGGTCTTTTTTCTGAGTGTAGGAGCAGTTTTACAGTGACATAACCTTATATATTACTCAAGTTGATAAAGAATTTGGGTGGAGTGTAACTAGTAATTTATGGGCAAGTGGTCAAGTCTCACTAACATATACTTTTTTAATCTGTACAGTTGGTATACGATAATATAAACTAACTACGACTCTTTTAATCTACAGGTGTGTCGCCACTACCTGGTGAAGTTTTGTCCACATGACCTCTTTACAAATACAAAATCTGATCTTGGACCATGTGACAAGGTAGGTATTTAGGTGAATAGATTAATTTTTAACAAAAAATTTTGATTCTTTGTATTTAGGATTGTCTTGAAAAAATATTGAAACATCCACACACTTGTATAAATGAAATATATGAAGGTATATATATATTAATGAAAGCTATAAAAACTTGTTCCAGCCTGTCCATGATGAAGAATTAAAAAGGGAATTTGAAGCTGCCAACTCCTATCGCCGCACTGCCTTTGAAGATGAATTTGTTAGATATGCAGAGTCCATGCTTACAGAAGTAGACAAAAGAATACGAAAAGGAAAACAGCGGTTATCGTTGTCAGTTAAAGATGCCTTGGTGAGTGGTTCTTTATTTATTCATATTACCTTCTTTATTCCTGAATTATCTAGATGTGATTTGAGAAATTAAGCATAAATACTCTTATCATTAATAATTATATTGTTACAGGCTAGTAGCACAACAGGTGACGGGCGAGTAGATGAGCAGCTGGAACTCCTCTCTGAAAGAATTACAGGTTTAGTAAGTGAAGCTGAAAGACTAGGTTCAGAAGGAAATGTTGAAGAGGCCCAGGGTCTCCTTAAACTTTGTGATCAACTCCGAGAAGAGAGAGACTCGCTGCGCAGAAGTAATGAAAATTCTGTATGGCATCAGGTATTTCTATCTTGGCTTTTTTTTTTTAATATGTGTGTATATGTATATATATGCTGCCTTTTGAGGAGAGAGAGTCTTTAAAGGCATATTGAGTTGATGTGGGGTTGATTCTTTTTATTGTTATTGCTTGCCTTAAACTTACCAGGCTGCGGAGATGGCGGCATCACAAGAAAAGCAGATGGAGGTGTGCGAAGTATGTGGTGCTTTCCTGATTGTAGGTGATGCACAACAACGAATTGATGACCACTTAACAGGAAAGCAGCATGTGGGTTTTGCAAAGCTACGTCAGGCCATTCAGGAAATTAGAGATGTGAGTAGTATGTTCTTTTTTTGTCTTCTTTTAGTAAAATATTCAGTAAATAGAAAGGAAGTATTTGTGTAGGGAAATGTCTTTGATGATGATTTTTTAATGGATTATCATAGATCTTGATATGTTATTTTTTTCTACAGAGTCGTGAAAAGGCAAGAGCAGAGAGAGAAAGTCAGAGAGAAAAGGAGAGAGAAGAAAGACGCAAAGCCTTACAAGAAGAAGAAAAGCGTAGAGAGAAAGAAAGAGAAGAGAGGAGGAGGAAAGATGAAGACCGAAGACGTAGAAGGTATGTGAAAATGTTAACTTCTTTATTTTTACTTAAGACTGTCAACATCGAATTCAGAATAATATTTAACATTACTTACCCCAAAACATTACAACATTGCTGATTGTTTGTCATTTCCTTTTGCAGTAGTGACAGAGATCGAGATCGTGAGCGTGCAGAGAGAAGTAGGGACAGAGACCGTGACAGAATGAGGGATCGAGATTATCGTGACAGGAGACGATCACGCAGCCGAGACCGCGAGAGGAGGAGGTCTCGCAGCAGAGACAGGGATTATAGAAGTTCACATTCAAAAGACAGAGATAGGAGAGAGAAAGACCGAGACAGGTGAGAACTGGAGTTTAATCTTATTATACTTATTTGAGTTTGTTCCTGTTAATGAGAGTGTTGCAATTATTATTAAAAGTCTTATGAAAAATTGCTGATTCTTCTTTCACAGGCATCACCGTTCGCGAAGTCGCGAGCATGACAGAAGGAGACACAGGGAAGAAAATGGTAATTTTTAAGTATGTCTCGTTTTAGTCTTTGCATGTTGGGGAGTTTGCATGATTTAGATCTGTCTGTGGTTGAATGTTGGTGTGATAGGGATAAAGGTATGATAATTATATAGTGTTGTGCTTTTAAAAGAAGAAAAAAGTGGGGCTGAAAGGTATGTAGATGGGCCCTTTGTATATACTTCTATTTTTAAAAACTGCCATTTCCTGGAAGAATCTTGCCTGTTTTTGCATTGAAGAGCTGGTGAATGGTTCTGCAAGATGTCTGTCCCTTTGTCTTGCTCCCCCCCACATTCAAAGACTACCCCCTGCCCCCCTCCTTTGGAAGTCTCAACATTTTATCTGAATTGTTGGTTCCATTTATTAGTTGATACTTTAGGATGATCTGTGCATTTTGTTGAGTTGAAAGTCATTGTGTTAGTTTTCTAGATATTCTTGCATGTAGAAATCTGATACAGCTATCCAAAGTGAAACGTTAACTATGCTTAAAAGATTTACATTCCTAGTTGAAAGTAATTTGAATTTTGACATTTTTTTGTGATGATCAGATATTTTCAAAATAAGAGTTTGAGACTGAGACAGCATTTATTGCACTTAACAGGCATGCATTTTGACTGTTTTGCTATTATTAGGGTTATTGATTTCATTGATATAGTAAGCTTTCCCTTCCCCTAAAGAAAAGGAGTGGGATAGATATGTAAGGTGTTAAGTTTCCATAGTTTGTAGTTATTGTAATGTGTTATGTATATATTGTATGGAACGCTAGTTTATTATTTTTTGAAGTAGATAGTAAGGGTTAACACCTTTTTTGTCAACTTCTTTTACTACACACACATTTTCATTAGATTTTTACCTTAATCTTTTGTACCATCATGAATTATCTGAGTAGTTATCACATTAATTCATGACCACAGCAACTAGTATTTGTGGTTTGCATAAAATCAAAAGAAATAAATAATAGCAAATTTTTTAAAATACCATTTAGTTTTTATGTGAGGAAGGTAAACATTAATGCATTCCCTAAGTATTTGACTTTTTAGTGTCAAAATTTTATTCTCACCATTTTTTTAGTATATACTTTGATGAGACCAGATGGTGAGGTGAAAACCCCCACTGCGTGGATTTCAGGAAGTGTTTCTTCTTAACCCTTTGGCTGTGGGCTTATGCTCTGTCCACTGTAGTTTTGTGTGAATTTTGTTGCACACAGATAGCTCTTCTAGTGCTTAGCCACCAAGGAGTCAATTTGTAGGCCTTAGTAACTGCACATGGTACCCCCACATCTTGAATTTCTAGGAAAATGTTTATGTATTGCTTATGATATTGATACTTTTATTATTTTAGACATTATGTTTATTTTATCATTGAAATACTAATAACAATTGAAATATGAGAATAGTTTTTAAAAATCTATCTGAATATCAAGGAAAAAGATTTATAGGATAGATAGGTAGGACTGATAAATGGCTCGTTGGTGACTAAGTGCTTAGATGGAGTACCAATTTTTGCTTACCGTGGCAATTGGGCTAATTTATAATGCATACTATCATGCTACTAGACAAAAAAAATTACAAAAATAACAAACATAAAAGTAGTTTTCTATATCATTCTGGCAGAAATGTGCTAAAAGTTCCAATAGACCCATAAACCATAACATTTCATTGTAATGCCAGTTGGTCTGATAAGAAGATATACTGAAACTGTAAACTGAGTGGTCTATTTTAGGAAATTCAATTCATTAACCACATGCCATTGGGAAAAATGCAGTGCTCATTTTTTATTTTTTTTTGTGAAATATCTTTGCACATAGATGCCTCTGATAGTGCTTGCCCACAAAGGAGTCAATTAGTAGACCTTGTGACCTTACCTAATTTCTCCTTTCCTTGAATTGGCGGGGAAAACATGTTTTTTACTAATGCTATGTTTTTATTATAGATGTTATAATTACTATAATGTTATTAACATTAACTGATAAATTAGATACTGTAAATGTTTTTGTAAAGCAAGGAAAAGGGTAAACGGGTGAGACAGGCAGTACTCATAATTGGCTTATTGGTGATTTAGTACAAGTGGAGCCATCTATGTGTAAAAATTAATAAAGTAAACTCAGTGGGCAAGGCATTTACATACATGCCATGCCTATTGGCTTTGGGTTATATATATATATATATATATATATATATATATATATATATATATATATATATATATATATATATATATATATAACTTAATTATATATACATGTGTAAAAGTTTATGTAAGTGAAATGGATGGTATTATTGCTGTCTTCAGTTTTGAACTGACATTGCTAGCAGTTATAAATATTTACCAATTTTTAATTTCCTAGCATTTGTTATTTACATTTTAGTACAAGTAAATAATCCATACGGTTAACTCCTAATACCTTGATAAAAACAGTTATCTTTATCAATAAAGAGTCAGTAGAGAAGCTTGATTGATTTTTTTTTTACAACTGTAGTTCATATTCTGCCAGGCGATCTGTACCACCGTGAATACTGATGAGTGACAGGGCAATTGTGAAGGAGGAGCCAAGAGGGAGATGTGGAGAATAGAGTCCGATGAGCGGGAAATGAAGGCTTAACCAGTGAGTGATCTCCACTTGAGGTAAGTGGCAACATGTTTGTGGTTTTTCCCCCCTACAGGTTCTTCACCAGGTGAGTGCACATGGTACATTGTTTGCCTGCCATGAGCTGGTACCTGTGGTCCCTGCTAACCTCCAGTGATAACTAGATTCTAAGCTCTGGTTCTGGCTCTCTCTCATGAGTCTTTGGAGTTGGTAAAGCTCTGTCTGTGAGCCTCTTTATTTTTTTATTTATATATTTTTTTCTAAGCATAATTTTGTGTATCTGATAAATGCGTACGTACACACACATACACATAGGCATACATACATACACATACACATACACACTAGCATGCAAACATGCCCCCAAATGCATACATGTACCCAAACATGAACACACACACACACTCAGAGATACATGCATACATACAGATACATGCTTCATGCACACTTGGATACTCATCTCACACATACATAAACATATGTACACATACATACACACACATATTGCATGCATGCACACTCACAAATACATACATATGTTTACACTGTACATATTTTCATGTTGACATTCACATGCCAAGGGGTGAAGACATAGTAAAAGGAAGAAAAAATCGTCTTACTTTCTCTTCCCCCTTGTTAATTAATTTCCACTCGTGACAGTTGCAGCTTTGAAAATGAGGAATAGTTTAGCAATGGCTTCTCATAGCTATGTTAGCTGATATTTTTGTTGCTCTGTTTACTAACCAAGTTTCCTAAAGTGATGGAATAAGCCAGTGATTAATGGTCCATAAATTATAGATTGATTTGATTGATTTATTTGGATTTAACATCCTCATTGTCCTTCTTGAAGATTTGTCTTTCAGTTTTGGCTAACACTCGATCTTGATAAAGAGTTGTGTTGGTTTATGCAAGTGATGGTAGTTAAAATAAACATCTGCAGTTAATGTTGCTTATGATTGAATTTATTTAAATGTCTGATTTTGTGATACATTCTTATGCTGTTAGCCAAACATTTGATATTATGCTTGAATGGGATATTAAGTAGATTTTTTTATCATAAACTTTTGTGGTGATGAATATAAACATTTTTCTTTAGGGTTTGGGTATTTCCACTTTAGTTGGTAATTACATTTATTTACCTTGAGTCTAAGTGCAAAGATTATTATTTTTCTCATCCCCACACTATGTAATCAGAACATAATCTGCATATGCAGTCTAATAATATGGCAAAAACACACACAAGGACTTTTGTGCAAGGTTTTGTTTGTATTTCAGCTGCTCATATATTTTATATACTTAGCATTTTGCATTAATTAAAGAATTTTTTGAAAATAAAAGGATTAGAATATTTAATTTTTCTGAAATGTATATTTTTAAAATTGCCATTAATGAAATGAGAAATGAAGGACAACCAGAAGGAAGATGTATGTAGATTTGCTTTATCTTTGGCCGATTAAACGTAATTCAGTCTTTAAAGGTGAAACTCTGATGATAAAATGTTTTTTGTTCATTATGACAAAGATTAAATGAAACTGGACTATAATAAAAGAAACATTGCCTCTCTCATCTTATTTTTATATATACAACTCTTTTTTTTTTTAATTTTTAGAGAAAATTGTGTGATGTGCATTCATAAGCCAGTAATTTGGTACTCGTTTTAGTCTTGACATAATGCTTTTCACTGTCATGATGTGCCTCACCTACATAACTTTCCATCAATCTTAATATATTTCAAGGTAAATGAAATCTAAGGTAACAGTGGTAGTTGATTAAGTCTGAAAAGAATTATACATCTTGATTGAAAAATATATGAGCCTTTCTTTCAGAATATGGGTGTCTGGTATGAAATGAATAATGAAGAGAAATGTTAGGCACGTGTGGAGAATAGTGTTGGAATTGACTGTTTTTTAAGATTAGAAAATAAGAGAACTTGTTTTTAGTTATTTAACATACACATTGTGACTTTTCCTGTTAGTTAGAAATAAAGGTTGGTTGTATACAGTATAAGAATATCAGTTGTTTTATAAACAGTCAAGGGGTTATTGTAGTACAGTGTAAGTAGTCATTTTCATTGATGTATATGATTCTCCTTTTCTCACAGCACATTTCTTGTTGGAAAGATACCATGACTAGTATTGTTCAATCTAATAATCAATTATTAAGTGTAATTGTTATGATAGGTGTAAAATTGATCAAAATTAAAGGAGACAATATTCATGGTGAAGATTTTTTACATCCCATGGGAAGATTGGATGGATGTAAGACCTCAATTTTGAATTTTAAGACAAGTCTTGCCTTTATTCATATTTTAAAAGGCCTTGGGAGATTTACTCATCTGTATTGTTTTAAGCTTTTGTATTTATTTCATGTTTGTTGTCCTGATCCAATAATTCAGGTTTTCTTGACCACACCTACTGTCTTACCAGTCGAGCCTATTGTCGTTGGTGTAGCCGAACAAGGCTTTGTCTGTACCACTTATTTTGTCTCTGGAGGTAAGTGGGTAACTTACAGTGACAGAAAATGTGCCTAACCGCAAAGTTTTACTCAGTAATTTCATAGAAAGACCAGTAACATTATGAAGTGGTTTTTGTATGCTTTATGGGACATTATGGTACTGCAGCAGGGTTAATTTTGTCCAGTTAATTTAGCTCCATATATATATATATATATATTTATATATATCCATACTTATATTTATATTTACATGTATTAGTAGGTTCAGAGTTGATGAGAAATTCATTTATTTGGGCTTCTACCCTGTCATGTCCAATCGATGATGTGTTTAGTATATTTTGCTCTCTTCTAAATCTGACTGAACATTTTACATTGATACATTTTGATGCTTCAGCTCACAGCATATGCCATGTTAATGATGATCAAATTGTTATGTTATGTTGAGTAAAGAGAAAAACCTTGTTTATTGTGTTGGATATGTATGTATGGTTATATGCTGTGAGTTTGCATACCAGCCAAAGATACTTCTGTTAGGGGGCAACAGTTCAGGATCTTTAATCTCAGACTTTTCTCATAAGAATTGACCCAAATTATATAATCAGGTGTCAAGTAGTGTTCTTCGCCTGTGTTGATTAATTAATATTACTAGAATTCTTCTTTTATCATAGTCTGACTGTATCTTGGGTTTCACAGGGTAACATCTGGCAAGAGAAAAGAAGACCTTTTCAATCTACTTCAGCAGTTGAGAGCGTCAGGACTTCAGTCGAGCCACAGACGATGCATGTTGAGAGATGCAGAAGTACTGAAGGACACTGCAGCCTCCACTTTGTGTTAGCCAGGTGACCCCCCTCATTTCACACTCCCTTCTCTGCCTCCCCCACTCGGCCTCTTCCCAGCCCTACCCAGTATGACATCCCAAAAGGGCATTCAATGGTTCCACAGACTGACTTCACAAGATTTTTTTTGTTTTGTTTTTTTTTTTACATTTTTTATTTTTATTTTTATTATTATTATTATTATATTAATATTATTTTTTTCCCCTCTACCTTTTTAAATTTTTCTATCATTACTTTTTTTCCCCCTTATAGGTTTCACTGTATAGGTATTAGGTAGAACAATGTTCTGTATTAAACTTTGTTTGACTGTAAAATATCTCTGTATATAGTTTGGATACTGTCAACACGACATGTACTTTTGAAGTGTAATGTAAGGGTGTTAAAACATCACTTGTATGCATCTTAGTTTAGGTGTGATAACAACCTCTTCAAACAGAGTTGTGATGCTGTTTAAGGAAGTTCGTTGGTTGTCCGGTCACATTCCATCAAGTATCTCATCTCTCCACTCTATTAAGGTGAGATATTGTGAATTGTGTCAATAAATGTGTAAAACTTATTGTGTTATTTTGTTTTAATCCCCTTCATATATGATTTTAAAAAAAGAAAAAGAAAAAAAAAAGACTATTTTTGGTATATGTTGATAAAGTTACTTTTTTATTGTTGCCAGTGCTGTGGTAGGTTACTCCTTTTTTTCTCTCTTGCAATATTTGTCGGGTCACGCCGTGAGGCATCAAAACAAACCACTCGATCTGTGGCGTGCAGCTGTATGCGGTGGTGGCGAGCTGGTGAGTCAGCTTGATAGACTGAACTCCCACACTTAGAGTCGGTGTGTTGCCATTGATCTGCAAGAGTCCGCTATGAGTAGCAGAACTTCCAGCTCCACGCACTCTGGCATGTTGCCATGTGTACAGCTGTACCCCGCAGAGCAAGCGGTATATTATAACACTTGTACATGTGACCTGTCCATAAAGGGTTAAGCCAATCTGCACAGATGGCAAGAATATATGCTATGCCCACTGTAATATAAGAGCAGTTATTATATTTATTTAAAGTTGCTTAGACTGGAATAACAATTTAATAATCATAATGTCAGTAAGAAGAAGAATATCAGTAATATTAGAAAGAAAAACACATTTTCCGGCAATTTCAAGGAATGGGGAAATCAGGAGTGGTCACTAGGGCCTACTGATAAGACTCCTTGATGGCTGAGCACGTGGAGCCATCTGTACATAATGAAATTAACAAAAAAACTACAGGGAAAAGTACATAAATCTGTAGTGAATGGGTTAAAGTGCTATCCTTGTGGCACCTTATAAACCAAATTCAAACATGCTGAGAAGAGGAAAAAGGTATTGTAGTTGTATTGTGGCAAAAAGGATAAAAAAAATAGTTAATGATTAAAACAAATTGGATTAGATGTCCTAAGTCTAACAGTATAGAATAATATAATACTGAAAAAGGTAATGATGGGGGGAGCAGATGGGGTAAGGTGGGGATTAGTGAAAGGGGGAAGGGATTTAAAGGCAAAGAGTAAATGTTGGATATTTATGCATTTGAGGAAAGAAAATAAGTTAAAGTTAAAAGTGGAAGATAACATGAAAATGTCCAACAGGTTGTGGGGTCACAGAATAGACAAAAGAGGAAAACCAGAAGTCCAGGCCACAGTATAGTGGGAATAGGACAAGAGAATGGGACTGAAATGAAGATTGCTTGATGGACACAGTGCAGAAGACCAACTATGAAGAAATTAATGGTAATAAGGGTAGAAAAGGGATATCGGAGGAGAACCCAGGGAATGAGACAAGAAACAGAGGTGAAGCATCATGGAGAGCATCATGAGGGGATGGATCTGGGGAAGGACACTTGTGAAAGTGGATGGGGTGTGTTGTGTTGGGCAACATGAGGATGAGGTGGGATGACAGGAGTCACTTTTTAATGTAGAGGGAAGTAGAGATTGAATGGTGGATGAGCAAGAGGAGTTTTGGATTCCCTAAAGGGTTTCTGGAGGGGGTTTGGGAGGTCTGAGAAATAATTTCTTATGAAGACATCCAAGGCACAGAGGAAGAGGTACTTTTAGATTGCTTGGTTTGACAGGTAAAGTGAGGAGGCGGCACCAGGATTGTGGTAGAGATTGGATTATCTGATTTAGACTGGCAAAAGAATTTGACTGGGAGAGAAAGAGAGAAGGGTTTAGAGTTATGATGGTAAGGGGTTAGAGGGTCAGTCTGACCAGTCATTGCCATAGACAAGGCAATCAGCCGGGGAGATGGAAACCGTTTCAGTACAAGTATTAAAGGAGGAATGAGGCTGAGCAGTGAAATCATGATCAAGGGAAGTTAATATCAGGTAAGTTAGCTTATTAAAGGAGCAAGCCTAAATGCCCATAATAATGGTACAAAATCTTTATTATTCGCCATGGTGAATAATAGAGAAACAGTCTACCCTTTACTCCTCAGGGGGACCCTATGAAGGAAGGGTAGACAACTATCATTTTATTGAAAAATTTCGGACACTGACATTTAAGGTCATAAGCAGTGTATACAAAATATAGTGATATTGTGGGGTTCGGGCAAAGGCAAAGGCAATATTGTGAATTTTCAGAATGGTCAGTGGTGACAACAAACAAATGTAGCAGACATCAGAGTTTTGTGAACTGAAGAAGAGAAGAAAATTGAAAGAGGGAAAAGAAAAGACCCTGCAAAGTTAGTCGAAGCGAGGGCTGATCCATTTAGTAATTGAAAATTTTCTCTCACATCAACATCTTGGGTCATTATCAGCATATTGAAGATATAATGATAGTGTGAGGGCCCCCAGGTAAGGAAGTGCGATATACCAAAAGTTACATGTTGAACAGTATTAGTGGGTGGTAGAGTAGTGAAAAAGGGTAGAGAGGGGGAACTGATGGGTATGGTAATAGGTAACGGTTGTAGAAGGGAGTTTGGAGCATTATGACAAAGTATAATGGTGAAAACAGCAAAAATGGAATAACGATTAGGATAAGTGACCGAACCATGGGATGAAGGAAAGGAGAAGAAAAGCCCTACAAAATTAGTTGAGGTGAGACGTGAGGACCAAGTTAGGGATGATCCCCGACATAGGCCTCAGTCCCTGCCTCCTATGCCCCCCCCCCCAACAACAACGAGTTAGGGACCCCCCAATCCCTTTGCCCGTTGTTGTCGTGGGGGGGCTTAGGAGGCGGAGACTGGGACCCAATGATGGGGAACTCCCCAACCTTGGACTCAGCCCTCAGACTCAACTAATTATACATAGTCTTTTTTTTCCCTTCCCCACTTTTGTTTCTGTCCCTTCACCAAAAAACCCTTCTGCTATCCACCTCCTAAGGTGTGAGAGCCGTGCTGAAAGGATGAATGGCTGACTTTGTGCCAGTCCTGAACGGCCTGCGGGAGCCATGGGCACGGTATTCCCCTGATTTAGTATCTAGCCCTTACCCCTCAAGGGGACCCTGAGGGGTGGACTGTTTTTATCCCCAACATAACCAGGCTTACCATGGCCAGTAATGAAAATATATCCCCACTGTTAGGGGCAATGAGGCTTGCCCCTTTATCAAATAGCCCCAAAGAAGTAAACCCAACCCGATTCCCCGACCCCAGGCTCTCCTTTGACCACGGCTCCGAACACTTGGCAATAACTGCCCCTTCCACCAATGCCTACTAGTACAGTAGCCAACAATCAACCCTCAAGGAACAGTTCCACTCTCCCAGCATGCCACTTCAACACCTCTACCCCCACAACCTCCATCAATCACCCAGCCTCCATTATTAATACCTTACACCTTATAGGCCCCCTTCCTTAACCATATTACCTCCATCAACACAACTCCATCTCCGTCACGCCTCCCTTTCTACCACCCCTATCTCTAAAACAATCTTGAATAATCTCTTCAGTGCAGCCAATATGGACCGATTCTTCGTGATCCCTACCACAGCTCCCGTACGCTGACAACACCCTTCTCTTCCAACAATGCCTCCAAAAACAAGTAGGTAAAGTCTCTTTCCGTAGCCGACCCGACCGCTCCCGTCTTGTAACAGTAACATCCGAAACCAAGCCATAGCATTAACAAAACTTACTGACCTATATGGTAACCCCATCCTAGCAAGAACCCCATCCAAACCTCAATACTTGCACCGGAACAGTCTCAATCTCACCAACAAATTGCCAAATCTAGACAAAGATTGGTCAGATGGGAGAAGATCTACTTGCCTGTTCCACAGACTCGATCACCATCAGTACAAGCTATTCCCATCCCCCCCCCAGAGGTCATCGAAAGAAAACCACAAACATAGCAAAAATACATTTCGTGAATGACCTTCCCTTTAACGTCTACATAGGAGGAGAACCCTCCCTGTCGTTCCATACAATACCCTCCACGTCAGTGCAAAAAAATGGGGTTGGCGTCTAGGACACCAGCCAAACACTGCCGTTCCACAGCCAGATGCCCATTATGTGCCAAACTGGCCCAACCCGATCTAACTGCTCGCACAATCACGCACATTGGCCAACTGTGGCGGACCCCATAATGATTTTATAGGGGTCTGTCCCACCTACAAATTTTGAATCTGAGGTAGCTACAGCAACTCTCAGATTCAAACTCGGGACTCACACTTGCGTGAAGCCAGACAGGAAGCACGGCGACGTGGATTCTCTCTTACTCCTAATCCAGTAATACTGCTCATCTAACACTTCTCCTAAACCCACCACTCCTACAATATAACCCCCCCACTAACCCACCTACCTTCACCAGTCAAAACTTCTTTGCCACCCTAAATCCAGAAACTCCAAATCTCTACGACAGATACTCCAATCACCACAACAAACCCCTAACACCTTCCTCTCCCTCCTCGCACTCCGTAACGACAGAAACAACGTTTCCACCCCCCTTTTCCCCTACCACACAATCACCCCCACATCCTTTGCCCGTACTCTTGAGACACAGTCCTTCTCTCCCCCTCACAAGAAATCCTCTATCCCCAAAATCCCAAAACTAAACTCCACAGAGAAATATTGAAATATTCAAGATTACTTTATGAAACGACACTCAACCTACAACTTCTGCTACTCACCCTCAAAGTAATTGCTGATATCCATCCTCCTCCTAACGATATCCCCCCTACACCCTACCCCCTACACCCTTCCCAAACACAGCCACCCCCTGACCCAACCCCGCCCACATTAACTCTCCCACCATCCCCTCTATCCCTTCACTCCCTCCTGGATACACACGTGAATCCGTAAGTACAAGTATCCCCTTCTCAGACCCTCATCTCCTAATACCCCCCTGATAAGAACCACCACCTTCCACACCTTCCATCTCAAACCTCTCAGTCCTATCCACCCTCTAGTGCTTCCCCTTCAAATTCTCCAACACGTACTACAAATTCTATACACTTAAATCAACGAAAGTAAACTATCCGTCATTGGAATATTCGCGGTTTTCGCGCCCAAAGAAGACCATCATATCCTTTCCTCTTATAACCCATCTATGTATGCCTTCAAGAAACCTTTCTTATGCATATCCTTTATCTAATTAAACACCCG